GGGCCAGCGATTTGGCTACTGCATAAATTAGTTAGCTCTGGAGCCATCCTTCCTGAGCGAAGACAAAAAGGTGTGAGCCGGAGGCTAAAAAACTGTGAGCTACTTTACACTAACTCAGCTTGGAGGGAACACTGCCCTCCAGTAGTCTGCGGCTGCTGCCTGGTAACATCTCTATCAACTTACGCATCCACACAATAGTTGCTTTAGACACTGTGGATGCTGTAGCTGGCATATTGATTGCCATGGAAGTGGCCTCATGTTCATCTTCAGAGAGCAACCCAGAGATTGTGGGGCAGTTGCTGGTGCATCAACCACAGGTACCTGCAAAAGATCTGAAGCAGATGATATCAAAGGGTACGACTTTTTAACAACCCCTGGAAATGGTTTGTTTGTTATTGGCTTTGCCCACTCTGCCTTCATCTGTCTCACATAGAATTCAGGGGAGAGGAAAGCTCTTTCTGAGCAATCATCTGGAGGAAAGCACTCATCAATGAGCTCTGTGCCATCTTTCTGCCCTTGGGCATTAGCACTCTTGTCCCCTGCCTTTTGGGGTTCCTGTATATTGAGTGCTGATAGGGACTTAGACAGCAAATACTGAAAAACCTCGCCCTTGAAATATCTAAAGGACTGGTCTCAGACAATCATTTCCCCCTATTCACCGTCATTACATGAAAATCCTCCCCCTCCTTTTTACCAGAGACATGTGAGAGGTTATCCCTCTCACGTGAAGGCGGATCAAATAGGCAGTGCTCCTTGGGGAACCCTTTTTGTGCAGCTTTGGTGGGCCAGCTGCCTCTGTTCTTGCACCTCCAAGGAGAGGGGGAGGGGAGGAGTATATAGTAGCCCCATGGCCCCTGATCTGCAGAAATGCGCTATTTCCTCCCCCATGGCTCTTATGAAGAAGGCCATCACATTTGGAAATAAGGGGACAGACCTGGGATTGCCAACATTACCGCTCTGCAACTCGTCATCTTCCTCGTCCCCTTGAGCATTATCGGCACAATCACGCCTAGCTCGATGAACCCCATTGAACCATAGGTCTCGGGGTGCACCATGTGCGGGATTAGGCTCTGCTCACCATTCCCGTCTTAAAGCATAGAGTGGGCAGTGGACTCCAAAATTGCCACTGAGGCTAGTGCGGGCTCCGTAAATGCTGCAGGGGTGTGCGGCTGTTGGGCGCGCTTTGGAATGCCATCCTCGCCTTTCTCTGCTGGTTGAGCATTGGCCACCGCCACAGCCTCTATCTCCGGAGTGGAGAGAAATCCATTGCTATCCTCTCTTAATGCCATGGAAGGCGGTCTGAGAAATCCCCTCCCATTAAGAGAGCAACAGGCCCGGCAATGCTCAACCTCCAAAGGGGGGGGGGGGGGGGGAAAACAAAGAGAGAGAGATTTTTTCCCTTAAGTTTCTTCAGAGAGAGGGAACAGCAAAAATGGAAGGAGAAAGTGAAAGTACCGTAAGTTAACTCAGAAAGATAGGATTAGGCAGAGCCTACACCTAGCTGCTCTCACTTCTGAGGCAGGAAAAGAACTGAGCCTAGGGTGACTCCAACTACAGGAAACAGGAAGTAACTGAAATTAGTCCTGCCTCCCTAAGTGATGGATGGGAATCACCCACACGATGTCCTCCACCTCAGAGGGAGAACAGGAATATGCATTATGTTTCTTTATTATTAAGGAGTACAAACTGTAATCTAATACATTTTAAGACAAGAAGCAATGTTTAAACTGTGATGCATCTTTGTAGACTAGAGGTGAGAGTACTAGGTCAAATGATTTCTTTGCTAACAAATTCCACACACTAAAGAAGAACCACAGAACATGTGCAAATACAATGAAAATACATTTTTCTCCCAAGATTTCAAAAGGCAGCCACAGGGTGAGAAGAAACATAAAATGTGGGGAAATGTTCAAATAATAGTAACCTAATGTACTTACCTCTGTTGCTATAGATGTGAAGTTATTAGCAAATCTGACATGCTTTGCAAGAGCTTCCGTACTTGTTGGAATCTCTTCCTGATCGATGTAATATTCTGGCACAGCTCCCACTATTAAAATAAGCATAGACTGAAAGGCCACGAACACCTTAAAAGTAAAACAAAAAGTTTATTAAGGGGGATCAGATATTATACACATGCAGGGGGGGGGAGTCGTAACATGCTATCACACTTTAGCATGACCAAGAAACATAATATAAAACAGGGTTAGGCAGGTTTGGCAGCAGGAAGCTTAAGTCACAACAGGTCACAGTGGTTACCATGGTGATGTCTCTGAAGTCATCACTTTACTTTCTTCCATATGTTAATTGTTTCTATTCACTCCTATGGGACAAAGTAAAGCACTGTACTCAGGGACTCTGTCATGGTGAAACCCACCCTTCCACCAACCCTAGGAGACTGCAATGTGTCACTGTGTATAGCACAAATGAACTACAATCCCCAAAGATACACACACAAAAACACAATGCCAAATGTTGTATTCATTTGCAAACATTAAACAGGCATCCTTATCACACACACACAAACACACACACTCAATAGAGACACTTGTTCTATTAAATGCAGTGGCAGTGAAAGATAAACAGATTAAGGCTGGAATCCTAAACACAGTGGCAAGGGAGCAAGCCACACCTAAAGCTAGCGAAACTTTCTTCTGATAAACACAATTAGTATCATATAACCTGTTAGGAGATATTTGGTAATTCAGTTTCAGTTTATTTAGGTTTAATCGCCTGTATCCATAAAATTCTAAGAGTTTAAAAACACAGTAAAACAAAAATTTGCCACATCTGCAATGCAATTTTGGCAGTGGCTGCTTAGAGGTAGTCCTAATCTTGCAGTATCAGGAAAAGATGAGTATTTCAACAGCCATTTTCTAATAAATCTTTCTCTTGCTGTTGCATGTTTTGGACAGTAGAAGAAAATATGAGATGGTGAATCAAGTACTACCAAAGGGCAGTCACAATAGCACTGGTCTGGGGGTCTCTTGAGAAAGCAGCCCTTCATCTGGGCTGTTGGGAATGCATTACAGTGTGCGATCATGTATGACTGCCTCAGTTTTGGAACTGTCAACATGTTTAAGTAAAGAGGTGGGTCAAATTTGATGGAATATTTAATTCCTAGATGAAGTGGGGTTTTTTTTATCTAGCATCCTTTTGAAGAGCATTCCAAGCATATTTAAGCAATTTCTCTGTGAGTAATATTCATCTATTTTTGGTTCGATTCCATGAGCCCAGTTGGCTTGTTTTCACATCTACAGCATCATTCCATTTTGACCAGTAGTGTTCATGTGCTTTTCACATCTACAGCATCATTCCATTTTGACCAGTAGTGTTCATGTGCTGTCAATATGGTAAAAGTTGGGAGATTTTCAGCACTTGACAGTCAATATTTGTAACTGACTATGGCCTTCCAGATCAGAGCTGAAATTTTGGGGAGGCCTAGTTCAAGCCGTATGACTGCAGAAGCAATGCATGATGGTAAAGTTAACGCTTGTTTGAATTTTTCAAGCTGCTCTGTTGGACCTAAGAACCAGATCTGGGAGCCATACAGTATGTGCGGTAGTATTAAGGTCTGTATGCTTTCAAGAGCACTGGAACATACTGAGCTCCCTGGGTGTAGAAGAACTTCAAGGATAGTAGGGACATGTCGTTTTCCAATTTAAGTTATTCTATGTGCTTGGACCATGATAGGTTTGGCAGAAATACAATTCCCAGACATCTAAATTCATTGACCTGTTGAAATTTGTACATTCTGATTTTCCATCTTTTGTTAGATCTTCTTGTTGATTTGGTAAACAACATAATTTTGGATTTATCCTCATTTATCTCCAATAGCTTGTCATTGCAATAGGCAATAAATGCTTTAATGGCTTGTTTTAGGCCATTAGTTCTCAATAGCAGGACAAGGTCATCAGCATATAGTAGGGCAGGCATTGGTCAGTTTCCCACACATGGTGCATAAGTAGATATATTTTGTAGACCTGGGACAAAATAATTTAAATATAAATTGAATAGATGTGGTGCAAGAGCACATCCTTGATGGACACCTCTTTGGATAGGTATAGGGTTTGGTACATGTCCTTCGTTGTTTAGTTTGACACACAGTGAGTTTTCAGAATAAAGATTCATTATTAACTTTAACAATCTTTTAGGCAAGCTTGTAGCGTTTAGTTTGTTCCATAGGCATGCATGTAACACAGAGTCAAAGGAAGCCCTTAAATCGATGAAGGCTGCATATAAGGAGCCTGGCGTCTAGTGCAAATTTGCTTATCAGTGTAAAGCAGTGATCCACACAAGAGTAACCCTTTCCGAAGCCTGCTTGTTCATCAACTAGTATCTTTTCCTTGTCTATCTAGTGCCACAGTTTTTTCTGTAGATAATATGCGTAAAACTTGCCAATCACTGCTAGAAGGCTAATTGGTCAGTAGTTATCTTATCCCATATGGATTTCATGGACTGGCACTTCTTTTCCTTCAATATCACTTTGTGTTTCATTCTGGCTTTAGCAATGAGTGCTGAGCAGTGGCTGTGTTGTTGTATCGAAAAAGCTTGCAATTTTGTTTAATTTGATTTTTGGCCTTTCTGCAGTCTCTGCCAAATCAGCTTTCCGGATGAGAGCAGGGTTTGCTTGTCTTTACATTCTCTCTTCCACTGTTTAATAGAACTAGGTCAAATTATTTAATAAGTAATGACATTTTCCAAAGCTATGTGGCAGTCTTGTTCTGTCAAAATTTTCTCTTTTAATTTTCGTGCTTCCTCAGTATGGGGCATTTTTATAGCCGCTTCAGCCAATCCTTTGGACTACCTTCACCTAATGGGTAATGCCTTAGGTCCGATTTGACCAAGTATTCAAATTTGACAATGTCTCCAATGATACTCTGATAGAGATGGGGAGATGATCGCTTGTTCCCTAGTCACTTACTTTGAACTGCAGTACTTTAGGGAGGCTGGAGTCTTCAATCAGGATGTAATCAATAACACTAGCACCTTGTGGATCAACCGTGCTGTTCTCATTAATAATCCCTAGTGACAATCTAGAGGCCAAGGCCATATTCACCAATTTGGCCCCAATCTGTTGATGCCTTTATCTTCAGAGTGAAACGTTCATTCTCTGGCATTATGAGGAAGTTTTCCTTCCTAAACTTGGAGTGGAGCAGTTCATCGTCATCTGAGCCAAATCTAGCATTGAAGTCTCCCCCCTATTATCATTGCAGATGGCTACTTTGTAGATTTAGCAGATACTACTCTAGCATCATCCACTGGATATCAATGTCTGTTTTTGAAGTTTTAAGAGGAAGGTAGACATTTACCAGCAAGCTTTCTTTAGAGCTGGTGGCTGTCTTCACTGTCATGGCCAGTTTTGTAGGACAAGGTAAAACAGATAACTATGGGTAAAACAGAAATGTGTGTTCCAAGCATTCTCAATGATTCTTTATTTTCCTATATTAGACTGTTGCTGAATCAAAGTTTACCACTTGAAAAATCATCTCACTGTGCCTATGGCAGCTGAATTAAGTTTATGAGAGACCTTTCAAATAAAGATTCCATTTGAGGAAACAATAGAAGGCAGCATTCCATACCTATGCTAGAGATGTGAAGGCGGTGGGGAGGGCAGGAAAAGCACCCCTATTAGCTCCCTTTTCTAATGGGAGAATTGGAAATTTGGGGAAACAATACATATTTTATGTATATTAAAAATGATGATTCCTATATATACTGTAGACACATACTTATTATCAACCATATGTTTACAGTTTTAATGTAATTATGTCCATAATTAATATGCTATGTGTACAACACACTATTGAGTAGTCCAGAATATGAAGTTTAATTTGATATAATTTTATATACAAATATGCTGTTAGCCCTACAATGACAAGTGTTCCTATTTTCAGCTTGAATTTTTCCCTACCTTTTGGATGGCAAAAACTAAGATACATGTGCTAAGGCTACATAGGTTGCAGCAGTTTGCAGTTCTCTTGAAGACTGGGTGTATCTGCTTGTAGTAAACTACAATTCATAAATATGCAAAATAATGCCACTTCAGAAGCAGATGCTTTTAATCTTGTTAAAGCAGTAAAATAAGTTTGATAAGTATTCCCCCCAAGATTTCAATCCCCCCAGTTTTAAAATTTTGAGAAAGTTTACATCTTTCACCTTATAAAAACATATAAAAGGTAAAGGTTTCCCTTGCTCGAAAGCCAGTCGAAAACGACTCTAGAGGGCAGTGCTCATCTCCGTTTCCAAGCCGAAGAGCCAGCGCTGTCCAAAGACATTTCCGTGGTCATGTGGCTGGCATGACTAAATACCAAGGCCTACCTTCCCACCGAAGTGGTACCTATTTATCTACTTGCAATTTCTTGCTTTTGAACTGCTAGGCTGGCAGGAGCTGGGGCTAAAGACTCATTCTGTCATGCGGCACTCGGGTCTCGAACCTTCCAGTCTGCAGCTCAGTGTCTTAACCTCTGAGCCACCATGGCCCCTATAAACATATCACAACCCCCAAAATAATGTTTTACAACTTCAGCAACAAAGATAATAAAAATAATCTCAGAAACAACATAGTCAGAATGTAATTATAGACAGAATATACAGAATATAAATCTGTAAAATATATATTTAACACTTACTTTATATAAAAATAGAAATATGAATGCTAAAGAGGTACCAGGTAAACTCAAAGTGTGAAGCAGTAAAACTTTGCCAATGGGTGAAAAATATTTCAACAGTATCTATTTAACTTTTAAAACAACACACGGTCCAAACAAAAGGTCAGGTTGATTTCAGATAAAATGGCAAAAATATAATATCCAATTAACCATTACGAGAACTTCCACTTTTCCTCATAATGCTTTTTTCTGCATTTAGTCACAGTTTCCTCGACAATTTCATCCCACTGCACACTTATACTGAAGCCATTTGAATATCTTATTTCAAGATCAAGACCTCAATATTTTAAGTTGAATGCCTAAGGGAGTATCTTTAAACAGCATTTTCACAGCTTTAAACACCATTATAACTTTCCCTGCATCATGGTACAATTCTCTTTTTAACTGCTTCTTTTTGTACTGTAGGGCATATATCA